AGATGTTGTGCAACTTAACATCTAACTTTTATTTCTAGGTGTGCGTGTGTGTCTGGTTTCTTTAAGAGGTTTTGGGGAACGGTCCAGTGGACGGTGTTCGCGGGGGCTGCAGCTTCAATGTTCGCTGTCAGCCTGGTGAGTTCTGTTGGAAACATGGGAACTGATAAAGCTCATAAGCGATCAGCTGTAAATCGCCTGATTCTCTTTCAGGTGCCGTTTACCTTCATAGAGTAACGATTCCAACTCCAGGTTGCGCAGGAGTGCGCCAAGCCTATGAGATGGTTCATACGAGGGTTCGTAATTGCATGATTTTACGCTCATAAACTCCTGAGTCATTCGTTGATCATCTCTTTCAGGTGCCGTTATCACTCCCCTTTCATAGAGTAACGATTCCAACTCCAAGGACTTGATAGAAGTCCGTATAAGGAGTGCGGCCATAGGACTATTGGGTAGGATTGCGTTTTATTGGAGGTATTACGCAGATCTCTTTAAGCTTAGTGGATAAAACACTCGTTCCAAGGTCTTTTATTTGTTCCAGTGTAAAGATGAGTTCATATGCACCGGTCATTTAAGTTGTGCAGAGTGCGCCATATCCTTATCACGAAGTGTAGTCAAATGCAGAGGTACAAATGAGAAAGATCAGTTCGTGGACTGGGGTTCACTCATATTGGAATCTGGTAGCTGGGAGTATGACAAGATACTATTTAAAACAAAGAATTGATAAAATTCTCTATATTTGTAAAAATTATGTGTTTCAACCACTAAAACTGCATATTTATATCATACAATCAATCTTATTTTGTATATTCTAATCATTATAATAATGCCTATTTTATACAATAAAGCATGTACAAATCAAAATTTCGCTTTTATTGTACTGTTACATATATATAAAAAGATTTCAAAACACTACAGTGTTCCATGTGTTTAATTTGAAATCTTAAACAAAAACAAAACCCAAAACACACGTTTGTAGAAAAGGGGAAAAGTGCTTGTGTGATTTAGTTCTGTACATACAGCAAGACGCAAACAGCACAGGCGGGAGACAAACTGTGCCGAACAGTAGCGTCAACGCTAGACAAACCAGAGCCCACATCATCGTTTCTCGTTTCATTCTACATGATTTGTTTGGTTTTTTTAAACTGGGTTTCTCCAGGTGTTCAGCTGTATATGTCAGAACTGACAAGGAAGGCATTAAAATGTTTAAAAAACTTCTGCAAAGTGATGAAGCAGAAATACAGAGAGATACAGTGGGGTGCAGTGAAGTGTTGGTGAAACAAGGCAGGCATGTTGTTAACGAGTGGCTGATCGGGAAACACAAAAATACAGAAAACATCTTCTTTGGTCATCTTGGTAACATTTTATAAAGGCAGACGTGATAACAGTCTACGATGGATTACCAGCAGCTTTTTCAAGGCCCTCATCTTTTTTCTATCCTTTCTTCATCCTCATCTTCTTCATCAACTTCGTTCTCCTCTTCTCCCTCCTCTTCCACCTCGTCTTCCACCTCGTCTTCACTGTCTGCTTCTTTGTCATCCTCCTCATCTGCCTGCTGTTCATCAGACTTCTCATGATGGTCTGAAGAAGAGCCGTTGGCCGCATTTTCAGTACGATCGGTTGCTGTGGCCTTGTGAGCGTCTGAAGGCTTCTCTGCATCCTTGTTTTTATGTCGCAATCCCTGAAGTAGACAGAAGGTGGCACTGCAGGCAATCAGGGTCCAGATAAGTGTGTGCGCAGGGACACCTCTGACCTGAGAGCGCACCCACCTCACCGCTTGGGCAACAGTGGTGTTGGACAAACGGCGCGGAGGAGACTTGTCCTATAAACAGAAATCAGTGTGGATCAGTGGTGGTGCTAACACCGGATCTTTTGAGCTGGAAAACTAAGGCTTGTGTTTTTATTACATCACATCACCAATCATGTTAGTTTTGTTTTCACACTGAAATTATGAAACCGACTGCTTCCTATACTGGCATACGTCATGGACATGTAGTCTAATTCATGCAGGAAATAGAACTGCATGCCACATCTCATTTTCACCCTCCCCCACACTTTTGACCACTTGTAATATTCTCTACAACTCATCTGAAAAGGATGACACACTGGTGTACAATGGGTCCTCTTTTCTCTTCTGACTGGTCTGCCTTTTTGTCCCAGGGAGGGCTTCAAACACAAAAATCTGGTTCTGTGGAACAACTATCCAGAAGCCTAAATCTAATCAGGAGCGAACATTAAGCTCTTCGAATACAGGAAAGCATTTTCGAGAGTTACCTTAAGTCCATATTGGTTGAGCATGCCCTCTAGGAAACTGTTTCCCAGATGCACTATGGGATAGAACTCCTCATCATAGACCCTCCTCCACCAGCGCTCTGGGAAAGAGCTGCAAACAAAGAGTCGGTGAGGTCTAGTTTTAGGGTAAAATAAGTAAACCTGCATTAAATTTAGTATGCATTTCTAAAGTCTCTCTTTTTTTTTTTTTTTTTTTTAAACACCAAAAAATGAAATAAAGGAATAAATCAAGCCGTGAAATGTTTCCAGTGAAGTTTCTTCAATGCATGCAAACACAGTGAAGCACGAGGAGAACCAGAGAGCACTGACCCGTCAGCCTTTGATTCAGTAAACCAGTATCTGTAGCGGTGAGCTCGCAGATAGGCAGGCGGCTGCTGGTGAAATGGATACTGGGATACATCCGACTGGATCAGTTCAACAACTGCAGAACACAAAGCAAACTTTAAGAGAACTGTTTGTTCCTGACCAAGGTAATTGAGCACTGTAGAATAGTCTAAGTCAAGACTAAGGTAGAACAGAAAACTTGTAACATGGATCTCTGGTGGATTTTTATTTGCCTCCTGCTACTTTTTCCTTTGATTGCACCACCTTTGAAAATACCATAAAATGTGGCTTTCAAATAAAACCGTATAAACAAACAACATGGGATTTTTTCCCCCTAATTTGATTAACTGAACTTCCCATTAAGCAGCTGCACAAGGAAAATGCAGCTCTCCGCTCTACGTGTTCATACCGTCTCTTTTTCCTTGCAGGAGTCTGTACATCAGGCTGGTGAACCATGGAGATTGCGTATTGGGCCCAAGAGCAGCAAACCACATTTGCCAGTCCAGCCTGGGCTGATGGGGTGTCAGCACAGGAGGAGATGCACTCAGATTCCCTGGCTTATACATGAACTCAATCTCCTATAAAGAAAAAAAGATTTAAATGAAAATAAGTTAATGTTATGAAATATGCAGTTTTCCTAATTTACAAATTAGAGAATTTTACATCTTGTTTAAGTTCTCACCGTCCATGTGACCCCATCACTGCTTCCCTCAATGACAACCTCGGGTCGCCCGCCAACTCCGGTCATCCTTCTGAACAAACCGTACGAGTTGACTACCTGATAGCGATCAACCATCTCATAGGCTTGGCGCACTCCTGGCCACAACCTGGAGTTGGAATCGTACTCTATGAAGGTAAACGGCACCTGAAAGAGAATCAGGCGATTTACAGCTGATCGCTTATGAGCTTTATCAGTTCCCATGTTTCCAACAGAACTCACCAGGCTGACAGCGAACATTGAAGCTGCAGCCCCCGCGAACACCGTCCACTGGACCGTTCCCCAAAACCTCTTAAAGAAACCAGACACACACGCACACCTAGAAATAAAAGTTAGATGTTAAGTTGCACAACATCTAAAAGGCAACTGCTCAACAAGCAACACATCACAACCATTCTTACCTGAAGAGAGAGGTAACCATCTCCCAGGTGAGTGAGAGGACACCAATCCAGATACAGGGAATAGTGACGGTCTTCAGAAACAGGTTAAACTGGTGGTATGTAAATGCTGCCAAGGACATTTTAAGAAACATGAAAAAAGAGAAGCAAAATTGGTTACAGGCACATAAAAAGAAAAAAAAAGAAACACTCACCTGTCCGCGAGGAGATGCCTTTCTTAGCTGTATCCAGCTGCAGGTCAAAGCAGATGATTGTTCCAACAATCAGCAGAGCCCAGACCACCAGCTCCAGCAGGTAACACAGCCACGACCACAGCTTTGAGTCTAAATACAGTGGAGAGAGAGAGCGAGCAAAGTTTGTCCTCAATATTTCTTTTAGTCTGAAGGAAGTTGAGATAAAACAAAATGTGCATTCTTCGTGACAAACAGCTACGCCTTAGCCTACGAAACATCGCCTGGGCTGCAGCTGTGCAATGAAGTTTCATACCATCATTCCCGTTATCAGTCTTGTATGCCTTGCGCAACCAGAAATAGACATGGCGATCATCCAGAAGTGACAGACAGAGGGTCACAGTCAGCAGGTTGAAGAAGTTGTAGTTGCCAGACAAAATGATGAAGACTTGAAGCAGCACCTACACGAGGAGAGAAAACGGACTCATTTCATTTTAGAGCTAACATTGAAGTTGATAATACTGCAGGTGAAACTAAAGCAAAACGTGAAAAAATTCATTTCTTTTCACCTGCAAGTAAAAAGCTCCAAGTCGGAGCCTCCGCAGTGGACTGAAGAACAGGAACGGAACAGCGATCTCGATAACGAAGGCTCCCACCACGCTCAGCTTCTGCCAGCACACCGGCAACTGGTGGGCAAACCAGGCCAGAGGGGTTGGGATACACTGAGTCTCGTAGTGATACGTGAGGGCTGCTCAACACACAGCAAAAAGAGGGAGAGAGTAATCAGATGGAGGAAAATGACAGAATGAAATGGGAAAAGAAAACATGACACCACTGTGTAAAGACAGCATAAATGGCATCCATACTCATCCGTACCTGTGAGGCCCCACCAGGTGGGACAACGTGAGGTTAGCTTCACCACCCCGGATGCAAACATGAGTCTGAAGAGCAGCCAGCGAGTAAGCCAGAAGGTGACACGATCGTGCTCTCTGACCCCTCGTGACCCTCTGATTAAAGTCAGGGGAGCAACAAGGATACAGAGGAACCCCGTCTCTAGGAGCAGGTTGTCCCTGAAAAGCAAGCAATCAAAGCAAGAGGAGAGACTAGTAAGAAATTGCATCTACAACAGTGTTGCACAGCAGCAGAGACCTTGCAGCACACTGATAAAATGATCTACTTTAAGCAGCTGCTGTTTTAGAAGCTGTGTGGTATTCAGGAAAAAAATGAACTGCATTGCACTCACCACTGGAAGTAGAGGAAAACCTGGCCTACCTGTAACAGACAAAAGTTTAGTGAGAAATACTGTGACAGGAAAAAACAGAAGAGCGCATTACCACCGTGCAAAATCACCTCATACATAGACAGGTACAAGACCCAGAGGCAGAAGAACACCACACTGTCTCGAAAAGCCTCCACCAGCGTGGCAGCAAGGCTCAGCGCCGCACCGATAAGACACAGCAGCTCCATGGCAGTGTGAGTGTCCAGGCCAAGCCGAGGTCCCAGCCACAACAGCGTGGGAGAGGAGAGCAGCTGCTCCACCAGAGGCTTCCCGCTGTATCGCAGCTGCCAGCGGGCAGGGAGCAGCCCCTCATTTCCATACAGACCTGCACACAAACACGGAAAGCAACAGTACTGATTATGCTGGTGGTGAGCAGTGGATTCATTATGTTACTCTTTTTAATGAATTTTACTTCTCAGTGCTGGAGATTATAATCTGAGTCATTATAATCTGGTGACCTGCTGGGTGGAATCGAAAAATAACAACACTGGTCATACATATATGTGATGCAGTTCTATAAGTAAAATGAATGAAAATATTTTATTATAACCACCAGTTCTTAACAAGTTTAAAAACTTTAACAATGTTGCAAATGTATGTACTATGGCGTAAAAATTAACGAGAATAAACAGTCGTAACCTTTGCAGTGGAAAGTCATGTTGCCATTGCGACTAAATTAAAAAATAGCCCAAATACATTTCCTTTCAAATATGGGCGGAGGATTTTATTTTTTTTTTTTAACTTAACCGGGCTGCAGAGATACCCCTTACATTAAAAACATAGTTCGGGTGTGCTGTGACTCAAAATGCCACCGTATGTCTTTTTTTTTTTTACAACAGGTTGCTTGTAAATTTGGCCCAGTTGCAGGCTGACCGTGCCCGGGATGAAGAAACTTCCAGGCGGTTCTTCACCACGTCTAACGGCGTGGAAAGCAGAGGAGCGGACACACAGGAAGCGCCAAGTTCCCAGCTAACAGGCTAACACATAACATTAAGGGAAGTCAGCTAGCCGCTTCTTGGGCTGCAGAGTTGAGAGGCTCACCTGGTATCTGCACGTAGAGGGAAACAAAAGCAGTCAAGTAGATGACCGCCATGCACCAGAGGAACATGCGGCGTGGCAGAACAACTCCCCCCATGTTTGACCGACTCCCGTTCTGCTTTTTTACCCCTTCACCTATCGGTGCTACTCCTGTGGAAGCTGGGAGCGGGATTTCACGTAGCTGGGGGACACGTACGCTAAATTCACCCGAATGGTCGCTAGGTGCCGCTGCAGGTCGCTTGAACGGTGTGGTGCGTTAAAGGTACACTGGAATTTAGATATATAACCCGATTTAAGGATTAGCTTGTTTCTGACGATCAGATCATAATTAATAAAATACATTTTACAAGAACAAATCAATGTCGTATACATTTATTTTTTATATTTTCATACAGCTGATATTTTTCATCACTTATTTCGAGGGATACCTCACGTTTATTCTATGAAGCTGAATGCAAAATAAACAAAACGATACAAACAGAAGAATAAACTTTGAAAATGTTTAAAATAAAATAAAACGCAGGGTCACGACTTCAGAAGGTTGTTTCTACGGCTACAAAAAATAAATAAATACATTATTTATTGAAATTATAATGAAATTTTAGAGATGTCCAACTCAAAAGACAATAAACGTAAACTCCACTCTAAATCTCTTTGATTTGCAAATGGCAACACTTTTTTTTTTTTTAAATTATGGTTTGGGGAGGGGTTTTTTTTGTTTTTGTATTGGCAGAAATAATCTTTAAAAAGACAACTACAGATCCCGTTCTATTTTTATAGCTCATCAAATTAAACAAATAACAATAAAAACAAGAAACCAATAGCTGTCACTTTGACTCAGGTTTATTGTGCAAGACCTATCAGGCAAGCATACAGGGTCATGGCAATAAAAAAAATGGGTCTGCATGCTGCTAGTCAAAGAGCCAAAGCTTCCAAGTATTTACATTCAAGTTTTAGACACAAACATATGAAACTAATCACAAACAGCTGATCACACACAAAACAGAGTACCACTAATCCTCTGACACAGTGACACAAAAACATCATGAAACTCATTGCACAGCTGAATTAAGTAGTAGGACTCTTTAACTTACAAAAATACTAGAAATCTGATTTTTTTTTCTCTTTTTTTTTTGAGACCATTTACACAGTCTGTTTTCAGGTGGCACAGACACTTGTAGCTGCTCCCCCCCCACCCCCCACAATAGACAGAAGACCAGCAGCAAGACTCTAAACATAAACACGAGTGCCCACGAAACAGCGATTAAGCTTGGCGAAGGTATGTGAAATTTGACACACACAGATAAATGCATCAAGAGGACGTCAGTTGCTTCGATACCCAAAGATCAAGGTTTAAATACTTCAAAACAACCTCATTTTTTATATTCTATTAAAGATCCCTGCTACGACATCCCAAAGACCCGCTTTATATCAACTCACCAGTTTTGTTTGTATTCATCTGACATCACACCTGTCACCATTTCCCTGCTCACTCCAGTTGCATGTGAATAAAAAGCATACCTGCAATGTCACTTGAATTTAGGATAAAGCAATATAATCTAATAGTTTTAAATAGCTTTATACTGAATATATGGTAATGGCTATTCTAAAGGGAGTTATTGCTCTACAAAAATATGTGCATATAACACCTGTAATTTTGGCTTGTGTTATCTATATGCATGTAACATGAGTTTCCTCCCAGAAATACAGCTGTGACACCATTGTTCCACACTTGCAGAACAATTTTGGACTTCCTCTGAGAAACACTTTAAAACTAATTAGCAAGATTCTCAAAAATTCAACATGAGCCCAGTTTAGACATAAAACCTTAAAATTGGACAACAGTGAACGGATCACATGTCCACCTGGATTCTTTGGAATTAGCTTCAAAATTTTCCACTTCAGGCTATTTTTTCTATAGTTTAAGAAAGAGCACCACTCAGTTGAAATTTAAACACTTGCCTTGCCTGATGCATAATCTGTTCACTTGGTGCTCAACACATGGGATGAAAATAACTGAGTAAGAATTTCACTGTGTTTTAAAATCATTAGCTTGTATCCCTTTTACTTCAGTCATTGAGCGACATCTGTGATCCGTGGATGGACAAATCAGTCATAGCTGCCTTACTCATACCCGACTGGATGACCAATATACCGTGGCTGCGAGTGACCCCAGCATGGACGGCTTTAATATGAAGGTTAGGTGTAAGGAGTCGGTGACTGGTTTTAAATTAAATGTTTTTAAATACTTTGAAATTCCATAATATGTCCTGCAAAATATGTTCTCTTTAAACAAAAAAGAAACATCCCACACTCCTATATTAATATAGATTGCTTTGCATGCTTGAGCAATGGTTCTTTATTCGCTGTGTCCAAGCCTTTGGATCTTTTATAGAGTTTTAAGGCAAACATAAGTCAGTCAGATTTGGACGGCTAGACTTAAAGTGTGTTGACTTAGTGTGTGTTTCTTGGAGCCAGAATTGGGGACCAGTGTCATTGTCATGTAGCCCCATCGGTTTCACTGCCACCGGTCTGTCCAGTATTTGCCGTAGATGCTGAGGACTCCTGGTCTGTTTCGCTGATGCAGATAACCGCATCACCGCTTACATTTATGAGACACTGAGCCTAAGAGAAGAACAAGTACACAAAATTTAATCAATTGAACAGCCAGTACTGAGATAAACCGCCTGTTAGTAATGTGCAGTTTATATCACCTGATTTTTATTCGGATTTTCCATGAACACACATTCTTTCATGCTGTAAGACACAACTGCATTGCCGCCGAGGGCCGCTACATGGGCTCGAACCATCGCAAACACCTCTGCGATGAATGAGTGAAGGAAGCCGCTGACACCGCCTTCCTGCACAGAACAAAAACACACTTTACGTTTAAAACTGCGCAAAATGACCGCGGGACTTTGGATATTTTACTGACGTCGCTCGTACCTCCCGTAATGATGTCGTCTCTCTGATAAAAAACATGTTGATAATGCCAAGGTATTTAATGATGCGTGTCCCGGGAAGGAAGGAGAGCGGCGTCATCTTCACCACCGTTACCGAGCTGCCTCCAAACGAGCGACTGGAGCGCAGCGAGCGGGAACGTCCCTCTTGAAGCGGACTGCAGCGCTCCAAAGATGAGACTGCAGGTTCAGAGAGAGTGTAGGCAGAAGCAAGTGGGAGACGTGAAGAGAAAAATAAGAAGAGAGGAGAGGGGGATATAAAGAAAAAGAAGAGATAAAACGGGAATGGAGATACCAGAAAAAACTCAAAACTAGTGGAAAGATTAAAAGCAGACATGAGCCTTGAAGCAGAAAGAAATGTCATAGTGGAATGAGCATGCAGAAACTCAGCTGTAAGTGTTTGCACAGCAAGAGTAAAATGTGCACTTACATGTGCTTAGGCATGTGTGTGTGTTTGTTAGATTTACATGCAGCATTGAGAATGCAATAGACAATCACTTGGCGCGTGTGCGCTGCCATGCATATCATGCAGTTGATGCAAACAAACAATTACACATGTCTGCAGACAGACAGACAGACCTGGGCACAGCTGTTTACAAGTGTGAATAGAGTGCTTACAGCAAAGTACATGAGAGATTTTATTCTATATGTTGGCATTTGTGAGGAAGGCTTCAGACATGGAGACAGACAGAAACAGCTGAGGCTGGGCACATGTACACAAGCCAGAGTGTGAAAGATGCTCCAATATCTTATTGCAAATTTACCTGATGTGGCTTACATCCATCAAACCAGGAACCTTCAGAGCCACATATTAGACTGTAGTTTACTTAACATGCACAGATCTGAAAAGTCACACGAGCTCTTGCAGAAAAGCTTTGACCCCCGCCCCACCGTGATTATCAGTGTGTTCCCAAACAAATCAGACATGAAATCCTTTAGCATTCATACAGTGTCTCCTCCTATCTTCCAAGCATAAGAAGAATCAGTGATGCAAAAGCAGGGGAGGGGAATAAAAGGAACCCTCTGGAGGTTCTCATGAAATTGCTGCAACCAACAAGCTATTTGAGAAAAATGCTGCACACAAAATGCAAAAACCTTTCTAATGTGACACACTGTTTTTGGCAAGCTGCAAATTGTGGATCCCTCTGAGGGGCGGGGCGTCAACTTTCACACTCTAGCCAAAAAAACAAAAAACAAAGCTGGTGCTTGATTTACAATGCTCCGCCCCCCAGCGGCATGCATGGAGGGGTGTGTGCGCGTATGTGTGACCGCTTGTGAACCGTGTTCTGTATTTGTGGGTATGATCACCAGAGTGTGCTAGAGACTGTGTCCTCCTACTTGTCTTAACTGATCCTCGTCTTATGGTGTGAGCTTTCAGCCTAAGCAGCTCTAGCCAGGTGCTGCATCTGTCTGCAAAGGAACCGTAATCAACGGAGGCAGCTGGAGAGAACACACACGCACGCACACACACGCGCACACACACACACACACGTGCATTCACAAACGCAACAGCAACAACAACAACAAGAAAAGAAAACGAAAAGACAAAACAGAACACAAAACAAACGAACAGAAAAGAACAAAACTGGATGAGGGTTGGGAGCTGTGCAGGATAACTCTGTCCGAGACTAAAGGATGAAAAGTCAAAACAGGGCAGTGTAGTAGTTTCGGTAGCGGGAGAAGGGGCGGGGAAAATAAAAGACAAGAAGGTAGCTTACCTCTGGGTGACATGTTGGTACTTTCTCCGACACCTGTCACACACACACACACACCATCACAGTCTAACTTTGTCCTTGTCGGAAGGCGAGAAAAGTTCAGTAACAACCGATTACTGCCAGAAGGCGAACACAGCAGGCGCTGCCTAGCTTTAACCATCACCCCCACCCCATTATCCCATGGCTGTGTTAGCCTAATGCAAATGGGGGTCACCAACACAAAGTCTCTTCTAGACAGCGTCACAGACTGTTATCTAAGTTCACGGCAAAACAAACTCTCACTTGTCTACTACAGTTCATTTACCTGCTGATCGGACTATAAGCAGCTGGTTTTGGCAGAGCTTTGCAGCTGGGGTGAATAAAGAGACTGTATCTGATGTGTTAGTGGACGAGATGGGTGATACCTGTTTAGTGAAGCAGGGTAACGGAGGTAAGGGAGGTAAAAATACAGTTAAAGATACCTGAGATTTTGGATGCTGTCTGAATGTTGGAAGAGGACGAGTCTGCACACAATTCCAGGGGAAACTGCAGCTGCTCTTCAGCCTCAAGGCTCCCTAAAAAGATACACACAAAAACCACACTCAACTTTACACACAGCACTAGCAGGGATGTTTCTTAAAAGCAATACACTATTTAGAGCAGGGGTGTCAAACATAAGACCTCAGGGGCCAGAATCAGCCAAAGTGGGATGTATGTGGCCTATCGTGTAAAATGAGTTTGACATCCTGGCTTAGATCCTAAAAGAATATTTGTTTTCCTACTTCACTAATAATCATGCAATAATTCTCAGCTTTGCTCGATATATAGGGCAGGGCAGGGATAGCTCAGTAGGTAGAGTGGTGGCCCCATGATCGGAAGGTCGGGGGTTCGATTCCCCTGAACAGCTACCCTGAGGTACCCCTGAGCAAGGTACTGTCCCTACACACTGCTCCCCGGGCGCCCAATGGCTGCCCACTGCTTCACTGAGTGAATGGGTTAAATGCAGAGAGGGATTTTCCCTACGGGGACCAATAAAGTACACTTTCTTTTCTTCTTCTATTGATATCAACTTACCTAAGCTGAGTTATTGCATTATTTGGAGTCAAGTAGTGGCTCACTTCATAGATACAGCTTGAATTTTTTTTTCCTTGACTGATGAGTACTGAGTGTATTAAACTGGACGTGAAAGCTTTCCTTCATCTGAACAGAGCTTTAACTGAAGTAAAATGCACAGAGAGACTGACCTTTGTTGACGGGCTTCTCAGCTGTCTTCTCCTGAGTCTGTTCCTTGTCATAGGTCATGGCAACGGCTGTCACTGTGACCTGCGCAGGGAGACGAGCAGAGGAACAGCAGTAGATAAAAAGTTTTTCTCTCAATTACATTCACTGCTCTGGCAGCTTGACAAATGAGTGATAGCCTGAATTGTCTCACCTGTATGAGCTCTTCTTCTGGCACTGCTACGGTGAAGTTGAGATGACAAAGACAGCAGGGGATCATAGAGCGCAGCTTGAAGTAAAAACTCTGAAACAAACATGATGAATTGTAGACTTGTAAAACCCAAAACTAAACACAGACAACCACAGCAAGTTCAACTAAGAAAACCCCCCCCCCAAAAAAAACAGTGCCAGTGTGAAACCTGCTCCATGATGGTTTCTTACCTTCAGCAGGTTCTCACAGAGGTCAGTAAAGATCTTGTTTAAGCCTTGGTTAGTAAGATTGGCATTGCTCAACCTCAAAACCCTCACTGATGTAAACATCTGTCAACATAAAGGATGACACAGATTTACACAGATCTAAATTAATACTTAATTGTATTTATTTCTAAAATAATTATTCTGCAATAATGGTTAGTATTGCTACAACTACGTTCAGTACGTACCTGTACTCCTGAAGTCCAGTTAGAAATCCCAGGCATATTTTCAGTGTTGCAGCTGTAGAAACCTGAAGACATTGAAGCAGATGCAATGAAGCACAGAAACAATGGCACCTGCTAGAGCTTGGACTGAATTATTAACTTGTGTGCAGTGCATAACGATCCACTGTAACTGAACCAGAGTGAGTGTGCAGCATGTACCTGTGGGGGGAGGTGCATCGATCAGGAGGGAGTGGATATCCTCCACGGCATCGGTGTCATCAATCTATAGGAGTGATCAAACATTGTCACCATTTAAACTGGCATTTACAACTGGCATGTACTGATTTGATTTGTACAGATACACACCTCCAGGACGAAGGCATCCTTTTTGCCGTGGGACAGATCCAGTTCTGATAGCTCGTCTGAGCTTTCCGAGTGGGAGCGAAAAAGTCTGGATCGATGCCTTGGCTCAGGGATTGGAGAGCCCACCCCTTCCTCTGCAAGCTCCTGCAAGCAAAACAGACGCAGCGTCCGAGCAGACGGGACGTCAGAGAGAAAACCAGAACACCGCAGAAGATCACATCTGTATCTAACATCTGTACATCTGTACTGTAACTAGTAGAATGACTGTGTTAGTAACAATCCACATGCTCTCACTCACCCAGTCAACTTTACTGACACACATTCATGGTTGGTGTTAATTTGGGAAAACGCACACTCGCACACACACAAATATATATGCAGGGGAGAGTGTGATTGGTCAGGAGAGATGGACATAATCAAAGTACGTTAACAACTTATAAAATGACTTTGCAGTGAGTCATCTGAAGAGGTGACTCTGGTGTGGGTTATGTATTATCCCCACACACAAAAAAAGTCCCCAGTTAAGAGCTGCAATTAATAGTGTGAGATTAATAGTGTGAAACACTTGTCATGCTTTGCTGCGTCTCACAGCTAAAGGTTGGCATGCTCAGTACCATGTTTATGCCGCAGAACACCTCAGGGTCCAGGGCAAATAATTTCTTTAATGATCAGAGAGAGACAAGAGGGGTAAGTTTATCACGATTCACAAAGAACAGAATATACAGCCCAGGCATATATGGACAGTTAGAAGTTGTTCAGCTTCAGCACAGAGGATTTAAATAAGATGACATGTACTACATTAAAGTGTCAAGTCTTAGATTTCATTTGAGAAGGTGTGCATCAGTATGGAAAGGACTGCTTCCTATGCACGGCAGACAACGTTTAGGGACTCTTTCTTTAATCTGACCTTCAGCAAGTTGAATAGGTCTCAAACAGATTTGGCTCAAGTGATTAACACAGCGATTGAAAGACAGCTCACTTCTTCACCCTGGAAGGCTCTTTGGTTGCTTCGGCTATGTGCCTGATGACCATTTTTAATGCATCTAGAGAATTCACCTACAGTGCACACCTGCACACTCGTCCCTATGTTTTTTTCAGCAGTGAATTAATTAACAACTAGCAATATGACATTAGCAAACACAGCCATATGGGCTGAAACAATAACAGAGAGGGGGCTTTAAGTCAAAAGATCTATCTATTTATCTATCTATCTAGATCAGGGGTGGGCAATCTCAGTCCACGAGGGCCGGTGTCCCTGCAGGTTTTAGATGTGTCCTCGAACCAACACAGCTGATTTAAATGGCTAAATTAGCTTCTCAACATGTCTTGAAGTTCTCCAGAGGCCTGGTAATGAACTAATCATGTGATTCAGGTGTGTTGACCCAAGGTGAGATCTAAAACCTGCAGGACACCGGCCCTCGTGGATTGCCCACCCCTGATCTAGATATATATACACATATGACTTGGCCCCTTTGTTCTTCTGATCCTTTAATCATGAATTAATCTGGTCACGAATTCTTCCTTTAAAAGGTGAGAACAAGTTATGTACTTGTGAAGCATTTCTGGCTTGCTTTTCAGCAAGTTTTTTTTTTTCCTTCACCATGATTTTCTGATTTTCTGGAAAACAAATACCAACATGGAGTTCTTTCTCTTTCATGTTCAATTCCTCTCTTCTCATTTAATGACACATAACTTCTACTTGTAACTGAAGGTTAAGTCTTGATAGTCAGCTCTGAGCCATGACACACAGCCACCCAGGAAACAGTTTCCAGTTGGCCGGGCACTTTGAATCTTTGTAAATCTTGACCCTTTAATGTTGTATCCAATCAACAAAGCTTGGAGAACAAAATAAAAAGGTAACTGTCCACATAACTATAGTCTGGACTGTATAGTATGTCTCATAAAATGTTTTTTAACACTGTAAAATATCACCAAAATAATGGAAAACACTAGTATTGTCCATACAATGTAAAAGCCTGATGACAATGCACTAGTCTTTAATATTCTTGGTCATAGACCGTAGATATTTTTTCTTTCAAAGTAGAAAAAAATGTGAAAACGGTTCCCACTTGTTGTAGTATAAAATGACCACAAACAGTGATGTTATAGCGTATTCATCAGGGTAAGTTTTTACCATGTCTGAACATCATAAATTTTAACTTTTTTAGTTCTGTTGTGCTAAAAGGCTTCATACATGACACCACAGCTACTGCAGTTGGAAACAAACCTACATTACCACAAACCTGCCCTGAAAGGTGAGACTTTTCAGGCTTTATCACAAAGATCAGCTTCCATAAGTTCACTGTATCAGCAAGTGTTGACTGTCTCACCGGAGGATTTATTTGATAGAGCTCTTTGTTCACAGCTATGGTGTCATTAATCCTTTTCTGAATGGATGATATATGCTCGCTGCTCAAGTCTCCTGGAGTCTTCCCTGCTATCTGGATACCCCCTGGAGCAGGCAGAGCTGTCAGGTACACACCTGTAGCAGACTGAACACACACACGTTTACTTCGATTAAGATCCACCACACATAAAAGCGACATAATCACTTGTTAGCATGAAAGGTTAACCTACAGCCAGACCCAGGAGCATGTTCTCGCCAACACTGATCTGTATGTGCAGGCCAAACAGTGCGTTCATGCTCCGCAGTTTCAGCTTATTCATCAGCTGAGTGTGTAGCTCATATTCCATGAAAGGCAGCAGGTTAGAGATGGCCGTTGCATTCGCTTCTCCCTGGGCTTTCTTCTTTAGACGGCACAGCCTGACAGATAAGAGGCACTGGCATTGAAGGTGCATTGATCCACTCATAGAAAACCTGCTTGACTGAACCCAATTGAGGTCTAAAATTGACCTTGATTGGTCAAAATTGCTCACTTTGATCACTTCCTTTGATGTCAAAATGCATCGTCTGAGGTGTATTGTTTAGTCCACATGATACCACTGAAGAATATTGGGTCTTATAAATTATGTTATCTGAAATATCTACTGTAAAAGTTATAATTTATAGCTAGATTATAGAGTGAAATGCTTGTAATATACTTTACTTTTACAGATTTGAGTTGTGTGTGTGTGTGTGTGTGTGTGTGTATTTTTCCCTAAGTAATATTTTTTAAAAGCCTTTTAACTCCTTTTCTGCTAATATCAAGAAGGGTTTGTGGGTTTGTGAGGTGTTATACCTGGCCTGGATAAGGCAGCCCTTTCCTGCAACAGCTGCTTCTGATGGCAGGTCAATTGTTGTGAAGAGCACATCAGGAACCTTACAAAAAAAGGCAGTAGTTATTGATATTTTTAAAGAGCAGAAACCTTTTATTTAACCTAAAAAGAAATTAACTGTATTTGATACCTTTTGTCGTCTACAGTGGTAACAATAGGTGAGCTGTGCAGGGAAGGGCATGTTGAGCTCATCGTACGGGATGTGACAGAAGCCACAGTTCGGTGGCGATGGCTCCTCAAACCTGGAGAACAACAAAAACCAAAAAGGTGCGTTGTCATAAACACGTGATGACTGACATTCAGACTGTCCGAGACTTTGAGCTGAACAATAAGAAAAAAAGAAACCAACCTGTGGTCGGTGCAGCCGATGTCCAGGCAGCCTTCACGCATGTACCGAGGATTCAAGATGGCTGCTGTGCCAGATGCGGACAGAATACACACCTCCTCGCTGTTTTGAGCCAATGGGAGAAATGAAAAGAGAAAAACAAGATAGCGCAATGAGAGCAGGACACAAAGAGAGAAATCACAAGGATCCAAGTGTTTTCAGAATCAGAATCAGAATCAGAATACTTTATTGATCCCTGGGGGAAATTATTTTTTTGTTACAGTGCTCCATTTTAAACCAACATTAAGACAAGACAGACAATACACTAACTAAGAATAGTACAATATATACATATATACACATACATACTTCACTCATAAATAAATAGTTGGAAAAGAAACATGTGTAGCTGTAGCAGCAAACAGTGTGTTAAGTGGATGCGTTGTACAGGGAGATGCACACTTTTCTGTGTGTTTACGCAGTACATACCAGATGCTTGTGCTCTCACTGTACCCTACAACCGCATGGCAACCGAGAGCTCTGGCATGAGATTTGATCTCCTGGCGAATCTCTTCCCACCAGGCATCGCGAGTCTCGGGCTCATCTGCGAAACACACAATTCTAAATCAAACAGCCTTCACGACGCATTTCTAACTGAATTATTTATCAAAACACCTCACTGAACACTAAAATATAGGTTAAAAATGCAGTACCCTCACAAATCCAAACAACACTAACAGGAAATCTGTGCATAATCCGGTGCCTAATCTGATTGCTTTGACTTACCAGAAAATCAACAAACAGCCAACATTACAGTTTGTATTTTCTGATGTTTTATGGGTTAAACAGTGTATCAAAGCAGGCCAAAACCAACCGTGAGTTTGTAAAACAAACTGACACTGAAAATGGTTTGTGAGAATTTCAGAGAGATGATGATGATGAAGGCAGAGTCAATGGTCAGACAAGATTAGTTCATTAGTGGACATCATATATATGTTCATGTCTCCCTTCTCTTTGTCTCCTTTCAGCCAGCTTCACTAACAGAAAGGACACAGCCACCAGCCATTATGTGGCTGTGCTAGTATAGATAGAAAATCTGATATAAGAGAAGACACTACACCTGATTTTAAACGTGCTTTCCTATCCTGGTGACAAAGCTAGTAATTTTAAAGCGATCGAGCCTTCATCATACTTATGCTAAACCATGGGTGTGTTTCAATATTCTCATGAGGCTTTGCTGCAAACATCTTTTTCTTTAAAGCCAAATCATTGCAAATTGAGAGCTTAATCTGACTCATATGGTTGTTTTAGGCTGTTGAACAAAGAGGACATGACCAAAAAAAAGCTACATTAGAGTATTGAGCTTCACCCCATGATTCCCTGGGAGAGCTACATGCTGACAGAGCCTCCCAAATACAGAGAGAAACTCAAATGGTAGGTGAGACAGGGGAGAGGAATGAATGAGGGGGTGAGAAGAATGGGCTGTGAAACTGAAGAGATGAAGAACAATGACTGATGGTCAGGCATTAGGCCCACGAGGTGGGTTTCTTTAAACCAGAAGCAGTTATGTCAAACAGGCACAGGCTCACCAACGTGCACACTCATGACCATGTGCACAGTCATGGGCAGAGAAGGGCCATATTCATTCACTAGAGTCCATCAAATCTACTCCATTATTTAAGTCAGCTCACCTCTTTCCCTCCATCCCCACCGTAAAGTCCCAGATCCAGTTAATTTTCCTCAACTGCGCCCCCCAACGACTTCTTTCCATGCATCCATTCATCACTTTTCTCTCTCTTTCACTTTCTTTCTCTCAGTATGAATACGGCCCAGCGAGTTAAGGATGCACATGCCTCAGTGGCTCTTTGTGACAGAGTAAACCTCCTAAACCTCCTGTGGTCTAGACAGGTTTGACCACAATGTTCATTCAGGAAGCGTTAGAAACAGCGCTGGGACAACGTTAGTGAAGAGCAGGAGTTCTTCTGTGCAGCAGGATGCGCTGGGTGTGGGGTAGCCAGGCCAGGCTGGATGGGGTGGGGTGGGGACACAGGGCATGCTCAACTCAACTCAGCACACACACACACGCAAACACACAGATTAGAGAGAGGAAGATGGCAGCTCACTGAAGTCAGAAGTTTTCAGCAATATGAGGCTATGCTGAATTCTACTTAAGCTTTCTATGGGGGCGTTATATTTTAACACTAAGCAGACATGGGTTTAATTTCATTGAGCTGCCATCATTCCTGTGGGTGAGAGCATTAAAAGGGGGGAAAATACCTGCAGTGACACTATTCCAGTCTAGCAGTTTGTATGAGCGCGTGTTACCCAAGGCTGGGCCAGAACACACCGTTAGTACAGAAAAGAGAGAAAAAGAAAAGAAGAGACAGTCTAACAAACCGACACAGCACAACAGAAGCACTCCACAATCACTATGCAAAGACAGACACCACTTCACAGTCACTAATGCGACGACAAACTAAGTTAGGTCCTATTGAAACAATCTGACAGAGAAGAAAAAGACTGATGAGGAAGAGAGGAGAACTGAGATGAGTAAAAGCGTCAGGCTATATTTACTTATTTTGTTTTTAACATAAGGAGAAGAGAAGCTCTACAACACAAAAAGGAGCATGCAGCGACTGTAAGTACATGTAGGCGCACTGTGGAGTTTTCACGTAAACAAAAACGAATGCGTCTCATCATAATGCACCGGGCATGTTCTTACTGTAAATGCCTCCCTGCTCCGATTTTAAATCATCAGTCAACAGGTTCAAACGGTGCCAGTCTGGAGCAGGCCGACCAACCTGAGTGAGTGATAGAAGTCATCTGGGTTGCCAACATTTAGCTGCAGTGATTCAACAACGACGGCCTTGGATGCATTTATAAAACATTACATGAAGTGCTTTTACATGCATTAGCTAATGTATTTTGCTAATAACCAGCAGATCAAGCCCGAGTTAAGCAGAGCATAACTGTTAAGTTATTGTTGTTATTGTCGAAGTAAAAACAAGCTAAAAAGGTAATGCACTTGTAAAAATATCGCTCCCTGGTGCTATTTTTGAATAAAAACTCCACAGGGTACCTTTGATGTTTTTCTGTAGTAGAAAGGCAACAGTGAACAGGGCTCTTTTCAGACTGCTTTCCAAGTTAATCCTGGAGTTTCAATCAGGGTCATTGAGTCTAATTTAAACAAGACTACAGGTTTAATCACAGCACCTTTTTTTACAGTCTTATTTTAGTTCCCCTGTCCACTTCTGACAAGAGCCCTGCTTATCCTAACCCAGCCCACATTCATCAACACTCCCCTTTGATTAGATTCTCAGACATCCTTCATTCGTATTGGTAGGCTATTAGTAAACTGAGCTAAAAGGTAAAACTACTAAGTCTATAAACTGGACTCAGGCATTTCAACACTGTTAACAGGCAGGTGATCACCTGACAAGCAAATGTCTGTAAATCTCATTTGAAGGTGTATTTATTATGCCCCTCTTAACACAAGAACAGATTCAACATAGTGAGTTCAATAAAGACAGAGAAAGGCTGGCAGAGCTTAAGCAAGACACCACAGCACCCCGATATGTTGCCACCTACAGCCAACCACACACACAACAGAAGTAGCAGGCAAAACACTGGAGCCATGCGCCACTACTGCAATTCAGCCGCAGGGGGCAGCACTGCACGACAACAACACAGCAACCACAGCACAGGCACACACACAGAGCCACCACATGACCAGCACAGACTATTAATTACATAAAGCCAGTGAGTCAAACGACAAGGTGAAAGTTGCCCCTATCCATAAAAATGTTTGACACATGTGATGATAGCCCATCCTAAAGTTTAGAACAAACTACTGCAGACGCAGCCTATCGGCGTGACCAGGAACAGCTTTCACCTGCTACCTACAGGACTTGCAGATAAACTTAAGTCTGACCGTCAACTTATTGTTTTTTTTTCCTTTGCAAACAAATTGGGAGTAGGACCATACACTGGAAAAATTTGGCAACACAAGAGGATAATGGGTAGCATTGACTAACAGCCATTTGCAACGAGATCAAACACACACAACACTGTAGGATCAATGGAAAAAGCTCACTCTTATCTTTTCACGGCGCGATGGACGAGCTACGTTAGGAACTTGTGTGCTTTTGTGTGTTGAACTCACCGGGGTTGTGTATCCGATCCAGTAATTTGACAGATCGAGCGCTGACCACTCCACCAACATGAAGCAGAAAACCAGGCGGGAACGACGTCAAGGTGAAGAAGGGGAACTCCTACACATTTAATTAAAAAAAAAAAAAACACACACACACTGGTCACTTACAGAAAGGGCCTTTCCAGTATTTTTGTGTCTCATGTTTACTTATACATTGCTGAATATTAAGTTCTCAACTCAAAACTGAGTTCAAATATTTACTTTTTGCTGACAAGGCTAATTTGTTCTGCGTTAGGTAGGTGGTTAAAACACCACTATAAGATACAACACCTACAGTAGTGGGCAAAAGTCTTGAGTCAGCCTATATTTCTTTATATTTTACCAAGAAAATGGGAATTCTACAAACATAAATGAAATATAGTACATAAGGCAAAAACAGTTTTTACAATTCTAACTAGCCTGAAAGGTCAATATTTGGAAGGACCTCTTTTAATCTTCACTAAAGTGTGAAGTCTTTCAGCCAAGCGTCCTTCTCAGTAGTCTTCAGGAAAAGTTCTCCAAGCTTCTTAAAGAACATTCACGTGTTAATGTTTCACTTCATGTGTTTTTTTTTTTTAGCCATGTATGCTTTTAACTCTTTTGTGTTTGGAATCACTGTTGTGCTGAAAAATTAAGCCACAGCGAGGTCCTGTGTCAGGTCTTTGCTGGATTTTATTTCCTTTTTTTAATATATGAATTTCAATTACTGTTCATCTGGTTCTCAGCTAATAGCTCTTTAAAAATCACCTTGTTGGTGCAAAAATACATCTATCTAATCATGTTACATTTGCAATTTTTCATAGAGTCAACTAAATAAAAGTGAACAAAGTGTTTTTTTCTCATGGTCTGCTAGTAAAAAAGTCCCTAAAGATACAACTTAAAAATGTTTCTTTGCCAAGTTGACTGTAATGTGCAGACATAGGTAGGTTAAATTCCTTTTTATGTTTGCATGATTAAGACATCAGTTTTTAGTGGCTTGACAAAAACAATAAGAAAAACTGTCACGTACAAGGACTGGACTGAAAATGAATGAAAAAGCAGCCAACATGCAAATCAAAAAACCTAGAAAGACTTTCAGAACACTGGAGAACTACTGCTCAAAACCACCTACTTCCTGCTTGGAGGTAATTTAGTTAAAAAAAACAAAAAACAGAAAAAAAACAAGGGCTAGCTCAAGACCTTTGCACACTACAGTACTATACTAATAAGATCTTTATATTGCATAACAAAAAAAATTAATTAGTAAATACTTTGAATAGAGATCATCCTATATTTTTAAAGGCTTCAACCCCAGAAACCTCACAGTATCAATTCTATGCAAAAACTGAGAAATTGGAAAATCCTAAAGCAGAACCAGATATCAAACTTCACATTTTTTCCTCTTCCAACACACACTGAAGCAGGTGATTATCAATCAAAACTGTTTTAAAGTCTAAAACATGATGCATGTAGACTTAAGTTACAGCAGGTATAGGATAAGTGGAAACATGCACCAAGGACAGAGTGTGATGAGCCCCCCATGCAGGTTTTGTCCACTGAGATTCCCCCCTACAGCCTACCCATGTAGGAATAAAACTCAAAAGCATTTCAAATACAGCTGGAAATGATTGAGAAAAACATCTATGAAAGCCTAGGTATTTAGTGTCACTGATGTAGTGATTGAATCCTTTTGAGTCTACCGTATACACATGCATTCATTAGGTCTGGAGCTGAAAGTGAAGGACAAAGACAGACAAAGTAGTTTGCGGCTGTGAATCATTACTCTGATTTACATGCTTGTCTCTGCCCACTAAGAACACAGCTGGTCTTCTGTCTCTAGCCAAGTAATGTGATGCAAATCCATGCATTCACTCACACGAGGAGCAGGAAACAAAGCCTGCTGGTATTCATTCTTAGTTGAAGAGACAACACTCTCACAGAAAAGCAGAGGGACGTAGTGATTCCCAGCCATGCAGGACCAGTATGTGATGGATGGCTTCAGTGATCAGAAATCAGGTGGGAATGCCACAAATTTCAATCGTATCCACTACTCCACAAAAGGAAGATGTCTTCCAATTTGTCTGACAGCTCCTCCCACTCTGAGCCAGGTCACAAGAATGAGCTGATGAGATGAGTATGCTCATTCCTGTTTTTGATACGGGAAACCAAAAGTCAAAGTCAGGAAATTTTTCTGGAAGGAGGGAGGCACTTGAGATGAATATCCAGACGAAACACGAACAGTCTCAAACACACCCCTTCGAACAAGAAGGGAGCCCAACTCCTAACCTCAGGCACTCTGCCTTACATGTTTGTCAATCTTTTAGGGTTTGGAGGGTGCAGAGCAATAAAAAAAAGAAAAAAAAAAAGAGCTAGGTTAGGAGTTGACTCAGGCTAGGTGGTGGCCATCCGCTTGGTTAGGGTTTCAAGGGAAAGGTGGAGAGTGAGAAGGTGTCACACTGATGGGACATACCCTGGCGTTTAACAATAACCCAGAGGAAGACGCTCCCTGAATAGCATAAGTGGTCGAGACACAAAAAATGGAACATTACTTGGTCTTACACAGACCGATCCCCATTAAACACCTCTCCAATGTCAGTTATGAATTTGTCACAAAGAATGCACCTGTGTTAAAACTCACCATTTGCACAGAGATCTGAGGCTGATATGCAACGCCAACACAAATGTCAAACCCTCAACTCTCCAAAATGGCTCGCCAGCTGTGACATTGCATTTCAGTCTCAGGTGTCTGCACCAGTAGTGAGCTAGTAATTAATTGTTTGTAAGCGTGGACGATGAGTGACACCATTGTCACCGTACCCGCTGCTCAAGAGCTGTCTGCGTCTGTTGTCTGAGGAGGGTCCTCAGAGGTCCCGCCTCCTTCCCGGCGCTGCCTCCACTGCCCATTCCTGATCACAGAGGAGAGCCTGGCTTCAGTTTTGTCATTTTAAACACAAAAGTCAGCCGAACACAAAGACAAACAAACTGTCAGGTGATTATTACATTGCAGCATTCATGTTAAAACAAATCAAGAGAAAGTTGAACTTGGACGAAAAAAACCTAATGATCTTCAGCCTCATGAACCTCAGACTAACTTATTCTGATCATTTAGTGCACTAGAAAATACATCAAACCACATGCTGGGAGTTAAGGTATTCAGAATAGGACTCTCACAGTAGTGTTGTGGACTGTGAGCAGTTAGTGTTTCTGACAAAACCAGTCAAGACAATTTGGGTGTGAACAGTCCTGCTGTTGACCCATCAAATGAGTGAGATGCCAACACTTCACTGTTATAAGGTTCTGGCACTCAGTGACACACAGCAGGCCTACTATACCGGAGGCTGCCAGCAGCAGGTCCTCAGTGAAGGACACGCTCTTTCTCAGCAAGGCAGAGTCTGACTGGATGGAGGAGAGTGGGGCTGAGGTGGTTGCCCTGGGATTAGAGCCACGACCACAGCCCACTGAGCCAGAACCAGGAAGGGACAGAGTGTCTGTGGAAAGGATGGGGGAGCTGGGGCAGAGGAAGATCCCAGGTCTGCATCTCACTGAATGGGGCTCCTCTATCCAACAGCAGAGAAAAAGATGGAGGGTGCATAAAGAAAACAGATATATTGAGAATGGATAGGCAGAGAGCAATGAAGAGAGTAGGTAGAAGCACAACAACTGAGAAGATGGAGAAGAGCACGATGAGGAGGAAAGTGGACACAAGCATAGAGAAATGAACTATGCAAAGTAGGTAGCTAGTATTAAGTAAGCTGGGCATTGTACTGATACTGACCTTGGTGAGCGGATCAGCTGTCAATACATTACATGGCTGGTCCACATTTTAATTAAATTAGCATGCTAACTACAAACTGATGACTTTCAGTGTTGCAGAACCCAAAATATACTTTCGATTCAAATAATTTAATGACATTTATCAAATGTGCACTGCATGTACTGGTTGTAAGGAGAGAGAAAAAGGAAAAATGCTGAAGAATGATGGGAAGCAAAAGCCATTTTCACACATGAACTCCAGACAATCAATGCTTCTGATCATGAGTCATTTCTCTTGCTCTCCATAATTTTATCTTCCCATCATTATGGTACAAGTTGATCTTGGTTTCAATCTGTCCAAAGATTTTTCTAGAACTGTGAAGGCTCTTCTAGATGTTTCCCGGTGGTCTGATCTGGCCTTCCTGTCACGACCTGTGAAAACCTCAGTTTAGGCATCTCGTTGATTGTTCCAACTTTACCAAAAGTGCTCTTCACTCGGTTAGATCTGCTTTTAAATTATCACGGAATAACAAAAGAACATTCCTCTGAAATTGGATGTAATGGACTATGTAAACAATTGGCTGTAATTCCTAACAAGTTAATGCAATAACTTTGTCAAATGCCTTGAATTAAAGCTTAAAAGTCTACAACTCAGTCAAATCTTATTGAAAAAGTGTTAAATCCTAAAGACTTAGCTATACAGTGCACCCAAAAAGTATTCACAGCTGTAACAGTTTGCCATGTTACAGCCTTATTCCAAAAATTGATTAAATTCATTTTTCTCTGCAAAACTTTGAGTATGATGCCACAAGCTTGGCACACCTAATTTTGGGAAGTTTCTATCATTCTTCTTTGCAGAATCTCTCAAGCTCCATCAGAATGGACGGGGAGCGTTGGTGCATAGCCATTTTTCGATCTCTCCAGAGATTCAATCAGATTCAAGTCTGGACTCCTGCAATCTACATGTGAAAATGGCTTAAGAGGAAAAGAAAGGAGGCACAGAAGAGGAAACATGAGCAAGAAAGATAATGAAGTGGAAAGAAAGGAGGAATGTGGATTAGGGGAAAATGTAGGTCCAATCCTGAGGGCTCGGGAGGGCAGCTGTGGTGAAAAGTTCCTCAGTTTTTGTGGCATTTATTAGTGGCCTGCGTTAAAATGTGCTTAAGTTGTCCTTAGGGCAGAGTTCTACCAAAATTATCTCTTCCTCAATGATTAACCATAATGACTACTAATGGAGAAGTGACCTTCAATCAACAACAGCCCCCATGAGACACAGTGCTTCTAAAGCTACAACAACAAGGGGACGGAACAAATACAGAGATCTGGTGTGCCTTCAGGCTATGAAGCACATGTTTCATATTACAAATATTAAAAATGTTTTTTTTTTGTTTTGTTTTGTTTTGTTTTTCAAAGTGTGAAACAAGAAGACACACCAGGCCACTGAGGACAAGTGGGAGACGAGGCAAGGCTTAATAAATATTTATAATAAAACTTACAACAGAAAATAATGTTAAAATATTCTTAAACAATGAACTGAATAAACTGAATTTGAAAAACAAAACCACACAGCAGCACCAATATGAAGTGTAGGAGAAGGGAGGGATGAGAATGGGAAAGAGGGACGGGGCCAAGTATTCTTACCCGTCTTGGGCGTCAAACTGAGGTCTGTGTCTGATGATGAGGACTGGCGGCTGCATGGCTTGGAGGGAGAGAAGGGGGGAGGAGAGGAGGAGGTGGGAAGGGCTCTGAAAGGGGTTGGCGGGCCGGAGGACGAGGGCAGATCCTCAACAAATACCGGCCTGCCAGGAGAACATGACACACACACACACGTCAGTCACCACTGCACCCCTCTGAGCGTTTGTATGTGTGCGCATATGTGGGTGAGAGTGAACCGAGGTTGTTAAGTGGAAGGGTGACTTTTTAATGTGACACTTGTTTGCTTTGGGTGAGGTGTGTTGTCAGGTGCTACGCATGGCTGGAAAACAAAAAAACAAAAGCAAGCGTGAAAAGCAAAAAGTAAGGACGAAGAACAGCACACGCACACACACATAAATGAAACTAAAGAAAGCAATATGGCAAAACAGACAAAAAAAGATCAGATTAACAGAGGATGACGAGCTGAAGCATGTGTCCCAGTAGAGTGAAGCAAAGGTCAGGTGACTGTAGGGTGATTACAGGCCCTTCCTCAGAAATGCTGATGCAACTGCAAACCCGACTGCCCACCCCGCAGTAATTAGAAAATGAGAAGTGGAGGGATTCCAGACTAAAAGCATTTTTAAGGACTTAAGGGTCTGTCTACCTTCTTTGCCTTGATGCTTCTATCTTATAGCTTTATTGCTACACTGCATTTCTGATTTCCTGCCTTTCTCCTGCACCTATTTCCTTTCCTGCCTCTGCGTACCAGTGAAGATGAGTGTGGGTACAGAGACTGAGAAGTTCTGGGACAGTCTCTGGGAGCTGCAGACCGAATGCACTGGGCTGTTGTGGGTGGAGCGGCATCCGTGGGCAAGGGGAGACCTGGGCCAATCAGCAGAAAGAATGAGAGTGAGAGAGAGAGAGAAAGACAAAGAAAAAGAGAGAGAGGAAGACGAAGGGCCGATATGGACACGAGCGGTGAGAAACGTCCAAATCCAAATGTTGGCAGAAAGGAAGAAAGAGGTGCACACAAGAACCAACACAACACAACATTGCAGTAGAGTGAAAAAGGGAGACAAAAAAGGAAAAGAACAGCAAAAAGAGGTTGTTGGGTTTTTTTTGTTAAAACTCCCACTTTTTGCACTGTTATTCAATTTAAAGTCATGTGAAAGAAGCACGAAAACAACACGCAGCTCTCAGTTTGAAATCTCAGTCTCGCACATATACAGAGCAGGGATGCAAACACGAGGGGAAAAAAAGGTAACGAAAGCTCTACAGCATTACAGATAAGTAACCAAAAATAAGCTAGCCTGGAAAGAATTTCTTTTTATATGGCTCCCTGGGAAACCTTAAAATTCTCCATTATGGCTGAAGTATTAAAAAAAGAAGTAAAAGAAAATAATCGGCAATCATTTTAATACATGGAGTAACTGTGGATATCAATTTTAAGCAAACTGATTAAGAAAGGTCCTTTATTTTATAATAGTGTAAAATATCCAACCGCTACATCTTGAACTGTTGGTCAAAAAAAGCAATCTGATGACCTTGTTTTCCACTTTGGCACCATTTTGTTCTCATTATGTCTTTTTTGTTTGTTTGTTTTTACTGAAAAGTAAGTAAAGGAGGCCTAAGCAAAGATAGATAGACAATTAAATAAAGAAGTGACTGTATTTTTTTGTAGTAACTGAAAGTGCATTTATTGAAGGGAAGGAATTGAGACTGTAAATGACTGGCAACTGCCAGCGCTACCCCTCAACCTCCTAGTGTTTGATATAAGGATATATATCGGATGACGACATAAAAACGTCTATCGTTTCATTTTATGCTATCGTTTGCTTCGTGGTGTCGCAAAATAAACTGTTTACGGCAATATTTTTTCATTATTTTGATGGTCACTGTAGTGGCTATATTAATTTCTTAAAGTTCTCTCTTTCTCTTATATTTAATATAACCACACTACAGACAGACAAGCGTTGTTTTTATGCGTTGTCGTTAGCAACAACGACGGTAAACATCGTGTGTCCGCTTGTTTCCACATAAACCTTTCACAATAAAGCTCAAGATCCTGTTGAGACTTTTCAAAATAAACTGAATCACGTGAAAGATGCAGATTATTTACGGATGAGAAGCAAAAAAGAGCCGCCAGGTGCTAAAAAATAAACCTTAGACTCAAACGTTAGAACAGGCTTTTCCCCGCAGCACGCCGTGTAATAAATACTCACAAAGAAAACGGCGGCCGTTACAACTTATGTCTAAAAATGTATAGTTTCATGTATCAGTTAAAACACTCGACTCCAGGTACGACGCCCAGCTGGAAACACTTCACGCAAGTCGAGCTGCCCGAGATTCACAGAATTTACAGAAAATGTTACATTTTTGTGATTTATATCGTTATCGGACGATAGATGTCTTAATATCGGGATTTGAGATTTTGGTCGTATCGCACAGCCCTAGATACACCTATGGGGAAATTAAAAATCTGTTATTATAACCTTATCAAGTTATTGAATTCACAAGACTTGACCTCTGACCTTGAGGTCAAACCCAAAATTACTAAATAGATTTAAATTTAGTGGAATTTCTCTTTATACTCACTACTGCTGAACAGTGTCAGTAAATTAAACAACAATAAATACCTGAAAGAGATTAAACGACAAGAATCCCGAATCATGGCAGCTTTAGCTCATTGAATAACCAGTTTAAAAACAATCAAGAATGTGTGTAATCACAGATAGCTGTTTAGATTCTGATAACATAGAAGAAATAGGTTTTTTTTTATAACACTTTCTTAATTGAAAGAAAAACCAAAATGCAGGTAAGTCTTAAAGGAAAGATGAAGAAAGACAATCATAACAGAAAGAAGAAAATGAACTCCGGTACAATAATTACGCTCGCTCTCTCTCCTTCGATTCATCACTTCGTCCTATTTTTAGTGGACATTCATGACTGTTCTCCTCACCGAAAAAAAAAAAAGTTTTCCAATTAAATTCACACATTTCATCTCACCACCAGCAGATGTTTACATCCCCGTTACACAAAATCTCACACGCCGACACACAGATGTACAGTTTGAAGAGAATAAGAGGCACACAAGCACACCAAGTCGTTAAGGTTACAGGAACTGGATGTAAACCACAAAACAAATCACTTATGATGGGAAAAGCAGAAAAAAGTGAGTAACCACATAGTTAGAGGCACAGCAGAACATGTGTACTAGATACTCACTAAAAAGATGCAGCACTAGAACATGCAGAGGCAGAGCAGAAAGCCATGCAAGAGGAGTCTAAAAGAGCAGACACAGACAAGGGAGGAGGAGGGGGTTGAGGATGGCTGTGTGTGTACTGTACATGTGTGTGTCTCAGGTTATGTCGTGTGCTGTTAGTTTTATGATGCACTACACGTGATACAATGGACACACCAAGTGCAAAGGGGAATCAAGAGATACTGAGACACACACAGGAGTGTGCACATAAACCTTTATACAGTACACGCTTTAATCCACACACTCTCCCTCTCGTGCACATACAATCGTCTTTCCCAAACCTCACAGTCTTGCACATAAAAGAGGTAGTAGTGTGCATGCTCGTGTTGTTGGTTCATACTCACTCCTTTCCATCTTTAGAGGGGGAATTGCAGGCATTGGAAGCAGGAGCTGTGTTTGGGTGCATGTGTGTGTTGGTGTTAGGGGCACTTCCAGAGCTGAGTTTGTCCAGCGTGCAGGCGGTACCTATGGCCCGGACCACCAGGCCCGACTCTCCTTCCAGGTCGAAACACTGCAAGTAGCCCACTACTGCATTCCCACCCATCTCCAGCACTTTAAGCCCTATTTTTCTCTGTAGTTCTCCTGGACGGGGGGGGTAACACACGGCCATGTTAACAAAACAGGGAAAATTGGGGCACTCATTCCTCCACACCTGAATTTTCTTACCAGACATGAGAGAGATGAGCCTCTGTCGCGCTTCATTGGAGGCCCTGGGAGTTCTGATACGGTCAATCCACTGGTACTCTGGATCTTCATTTACCACGAGTTCCTCAACAAAGCCGTGCACCAAAGTTGCCCTGTAGCACTGTGGAATACATGTGGCTGCCATACAGAAACAGAGGGGAAGGAACTTAGATTTCACGAGAAAGGTTTGTTATAGCTGATATTCCATCTTTGCACAGTTTTAAGTGGTATTTCCTTGTTTACAGATGTGCTGATGGCACTGACACGGCTTATAATTTTGCTGATCAAGGAATAACCCCTTTTTTTGTTGGCAAGATCATTATGACACAAAAAACTTGATTACAATGCCATCTAATGAACTGCTCTCCCTCACATAAATCTGAAAATTATGTCTTATGATGCATTTAGAATCAAAAATCTACCCAAACTTACTGCAGAAAAACTTGACCCCGCATGAAGACTGTCTGAAACGGTTCAAATCGTTGAAGAGTTCCACTTTAACAATGACGTTTATTTCCCCTCGAATTCCTGATGACAAACAATAGAAATATAGATAAGGCCATGAAGAAAACAAAATAAAATTAGTGATCATTGTGGATGGATTAGCTGATTCTTATACCATGGATGGTATCATAGATGGGAAACCAGCCAGAGATGACAGAAGCAGCCTCACTGTAAAGCAGTGGATCAATGTCAATGTAAACTTTCCCTATGGCATCATTAGCACTGTAAGTGTCGTGGTCCAATACTGTGATCTGCAATGGCTCATCCTGCAAGTCCTCATCATCGACCTACAGACAGCAAGGCATGAAGAGGAACAAGAGGCAAAAGCGAGGAGGAGAGTTTAGAAATCTACTGAATCTGATTGCAATTTAATGTAGTAATAACATCGGTCCCTCATGTTCAAAGAGAGGCATTTTACCTCAAATTTGAACCACTCCGAGTTCCATTGTGGATTGAGGGATTTGGGACAGACATCCGTTTTGAAGGTTGTGTTTCCAAACTTGACCTGGAATGTAATCAGACACCTTTTTTAAATGCCTAATTGCTTTTCTTGGCTCATTTTAGAGGGGAAGTGACTATCACCATTAGGACAAACAGTTCATGTACAGCCACACTGCTGTAAACAAATTAAGTACATAAATTCTTCTCTTACCTCTACGAAAGCATCAGTAAGGTCACTGGCTCTGTCCATCACAGGCAAGTGGCGCCCTGCCACAATTTTGGCCTTCAGTTTCCCAGGCATGATTCAATTTTACGCTGATCTGTCAACATATATAATTAAATCTGTCAACACTGCCCTTAGCAACAGGAAACATCGACGCGTCGGTAAACATGTTTTGGTGATAACGTGCAGAGCCCCTTCCTCTGTTTACAAGCTCACTAGCTAATTAGCTAAAAGCTAAACTACAATTTGTATTTCTTGTTTTTCAAAAAGGTTGATCCACTCGGTTTGAGGTTATCTACTGGATTGCCGTTTATCAAAACAAAACAAAAAACAAACTATCAGTGTGCTAGATTAAGTTAGCAACACGAGGCTAACACGAAAAGCCACTTAGGTTAACTGCATTGCAGTCAGAATCTCTTTAGCTCTAGTTACCTGATCGGCCATGTTTTTACAGTCACACGGCAAACCCTCCACCTATGCAGCTACAAAATAAGCATGTTGTCTTCAGTGCAGACTGTAGCATCCTTACCAGTGCTAGAAGATTAACATACAGCTGGCCAAGCAGCAGCAGTCTCGTTTTACTCGGACATTATTGTTGACAGTCCACCGTTCGTCTGACCTCCGTGTCTCTCCCATAACACGAGACGTGAGTTCCCAGTACACCACACAGGAAAGTGTCGCTCAACTTAGAAATCATCCAGCCGCAGATATTGCGGCTTTACAGATACTGGCGATGCTCTACAAATGGCATTACTGTTCACTTACTATTTATTACACACGTCCCGCGTAAATACAACGGCTAGCTTGACAGCATGAAGCCCATGATGAATGAATTCTCACTTGGGGTTGTTGTGTGCTGCGTTTGTGTGTATCTCGTAAAGATGTACTTTAACATGCGAACGTTACGTCGACGCGCCCCTGCTTCAAATAAAAATAATAATATAAGAAATAATATAATATCTACTTCCACTAGGATGATTAAAACGTGCTTATATGCAGTCAAAGTATTAAGTTTAGCTTTTCAGTAGTTCAATTTCGCTTAATTTGATCTATTTCAATAGCAGCTCCCCCGTTAAGTGTATCCCTTAAAGGCATCTTAGAGATTTGGTTTGAACATGCGCAACTTTGACAACTTCGTTTACCTTCCATGTGACCGTAGCACGAGGAAGCAAACACTCCCAGTATTATTAAAATAAATGCAAAATGTTTTGCGTGCATGGGTACTGTAAGAGGTTACGTGATAGATTTTTTTTTAACAATCCTGCTGTTGTATTTTTATTTTTATTTTTTTTTTGCGCACGTTGAATACTTTATCCGGAAAAAAATATATATCTTTGCAGAAATGACAACAGGAAAACCTATAATAGGAGGAGGCTTTCCTAATAATCAGGAAAACCCAACAAAAGACCTAAACTAGAAGTAGAGTAGCCTACTGCCTGAACCGTAGTCCTCCAAACATCTCAACAAGAAACTGTTGCACTGTTGCAGGTGCTTTGAGTACTTAGAAATATTGACTGAAAATAAACCCTCAGCATGTTCTCCATTTGCTCAAGCTTGAATGTTATATGTTTTAAAACTACAGCCCCCGTGAATTTCAGGGAAGGAGTTGTGCCCGTTTTTTGTTTTGTTTTTCTAAATTAAAATTATACATTGTTTGTTTCATTTTTTAAAAGATTTACCATTACATCTCAACCTGAGAGCCTTTTATATATGTATATGTAATATGTTATGTGTAAGAACTGTAAAAATGTTCTGCAAAACAAAGCAAGAAAAGACATCAGGAAAACATTACACAGTGTTCTTTTGTAGTACACGTAACTCTTGTGCCAGGTGGATTAGTCTATATCAAACACAGCTTGTCACCTTTGTCTACTGAGGGGAGTCAAATGGTATTTTTAGTATGTATGATATGTGTGAAGACAAACACCTGTCACATAAAAAGAGATTTAGTTACACATGTATGACTACCTATATTTGTGGACCAAGGTTTAAAATTAAATCTCCCTTACACTAATAGATTTTAATCACAATACATGAAACAATCTGAAAAGGACAACAAAATAACTTAACAAAGTAGGGAAAACTAAACCAAGGGCACCAGAAGGCAGGAGCTATGATTCACTAGGTTCATGGCTCCTTCTAACATTTATGGCTCAAAGAAGAAAAGTCCTGCAGGGTTTGATGGTGCCCTTATTATGTCTCCAACACAACAAAGTGGGTACTTGTGTTTTTTAGTGGAACCTCTAAACAATTAATATAAGTCATACTGGAAGAGCACAGTTTCACAGTTATAGTTTTAAATCATAATTAATTTATATAGTCTGGACATACTGCTTATGAAATTATGTCTAACCAACTGCAACACAAATATGCAGTTTGGGTTGCGATTTGTTTATATTCTATTCCTGCAGAGCTGGCACAGTTGGCATTGAGCACACACAACTTTGTTGTAAAGGGCTATTCTATTCTATTCTATTCTATTCTATTCTATTCTATTCTATTCTATTCTTTTCTTTTCTATATGAATTACTACCATGCCGTTTTATCTCTATCTGTCTAGACTCAGATACCATATCTAGTAAGGATTAAGTACATATATATAAATATAGTAAGGAATTTAATATGTTGTGGTCACATCTCTTTCATATTTTGACTTTTGGGTTGAATAGTGGCCAGAAATCTTTTGTAGAACTTTATGAACTTTGACACCTTTTTGTTGATAAAATCTCATCAACTTCTCATTTTATCTTACAAAATATATTTTTCCCCATAAATTCTGGCTTTATATAAGTAACCTGCATTTCACTGTAATATTGTTACATGAGTTCAATGTAAAACATTGAATTTGATTGAATCAGGTTCAATTTCATTTATTTAACTGAATTTAAATAAACCTTTGATTTTACATATTTCAATTGCATCACATTTACTTATTGGATCATGATGTGTTGATGTCCAAAACATTTGGTGACAGTGATCTTGACAGTTGATCACTTAATTAAAAAAAATAACTTTAACCACTTAACATAAAACCTTATTATTGAGCAATACAAAAAAGCAAAACAAAACAAAAAACAGTTATGTACTGGGAACTCTGTTCTCTGCACCCATGGGCCACTAACAGGTTAATCCAACCATGTGTTAATGTCTGAGCGGGTTTAACACATTGTGCGGATAGCTGAAATAGTTGGAGAAAGGGCACCAAGTTTTTAGTGTGCACAAGAATAAAGGACGTTTAAACTATGCATACATCTTACCCTGAAGAATACAGTTTCATAGTTGTGCAGCATTCACACAATGAAGAATATTGTATCTTTCATTCAGATCAGATTCTGGTTCTTATTCCAGACACCTAATAGTATGCTTTAGTAGGTGGAAATCCTTTTGGTTTATTGGTAGGCCAGGAACTTTTTGCCTTTAATAAATAACATTATAATACCGACGCACTGTAAACATCTCTGGAGATGCCATCACTGTACCACAAATATGAAGATGAAAGCTACCAACGACCACAGAAAGTCACGCATTTCAGGCTGAAAACGTTCCCCACTCAGTCTTCCTCCCTTTGCCACGAATTTCTTTTATTTATTTCTTTTATTATTTTATTTTTATGTAGAGTCTTATCTTAACAGTTTTTTGTTTTGTTTTATTTTTAGCTAGGTGGCCAAAAATAAAGTGCTGAATTTGTATCTTGGTGAGAAACCTCTGTTCTAAAACAAAAAGAAGAAAAGGGGAGATTTATTCGTCACAATAGACGATCTTCGATCTACAGGTCTGACTTATAAAATGCAGGCGAAGCTGTTTCCCGCTTGTAAAGTGACTCGTTCCTGACGTGAGAAGTGAGAACTTCAATTAGGCATCATAGTTTCTTTCTTTCTTTCTTTCTTTCTTTCTTTCTTTCTTTCTTTCTTTCTTTCTTTCTTTCTTTCTTTCTGTCTGTTTCAAATTTAACATAGGG